AATGTTCTGAGTTTGTTCATTAATGAACACTTAGAAATAATATAAAATTAGACCTCATGAATTCTTCATGAGGTGTAATTTACCATGATCATTTTCCTTGGCATTTAGGTGCTGTGAACAGTGTTATTCATAGATAACTCTTTTGACTTCCGAGTCCTCAAAATGGATATGTCTGCGTGAATTCTCCAGTTTCTACTTTTTTTTTTCAGATTTTCATTTTAGGAAAAGATTTTGTGGTATGTTTAAAAACACTTTTCTTTAGTGCCTGTAAATAACACTTAAGATTCATAATTGTTACTGTTTTTCTATACATATCAAATTAATTTGTATTTATTGAGGAATATGGGCAGTGGAGTATATGTAATTCAGGTAACATGAATGGGTGCTAATTATTTGCTGAATACAAGCTCCTTTCAGTGTATGTATGCGACAGGCTTTCAGTTCAACATGCAGACCTTTTAGACTGAGCACAAATTTTGTAAATATAAAGCATGTATATTTACATTTATCGAGCCATTGGCTATTGTTTATGCATGCAATAGGGAGATAACTGTCTTCGTCTGTGGGTAGTTTTCTAAATGATTCATTAACAGTGCTTTGTAATGGTAGATGGATGTCACATACTTACTGTAATAACTGCAGATTAATGTCAGTTACTCTAGCTTGTTTAAGCATTGTAATAGCTGTGTTTATAGATACAGGTATTCTTTGCGTTGGAGCTAATATTTCAGCAGGAATAAATTGAAATTAATTGAATTAATTGTAAAAAAAAAAGACAGAAGTATTTCTGAAATATTATTTGTAATGTAGGAGTTGTTACAATGGATATTTGTTGCTGATATTTTGTAGGAGGGGTTATATCAAGCCTTTTGGTAAGTAGTGTTGAAAAACACTGGCAAGACTTACGCTGTCTTCCTGAGCAGCAAAGCATTTCTTTGTGAAATCTGTCAAACTAAAATACCTTGTATTTTACCATACTAAGAATAGTAGTACACCAAGAAGTCATTTTTAAAAGCAGCAGTCCAATGAAATACATCCAGAATTTGAAATACGGGTTGCCTTTAACTTACAAAATTGCAGTCTTTAAATTCTGTCACATTTTTTCAATGTTGTAAAGATAGAATATTCAAATTATTGGTGGTTAAATTATGTCTGTGAACAGTAACTGGGGGAGGGAAAATGCTTCTTTATACCAGTAGCATGTGAATGTCATCACATATGACGTTTGCACTGTAATATTATTTCAAGACCAGTAGTAGCTGCCTAAATTGGGTCAGAGAAGGTCTACAAAACATAGAGATATAGAGATGTTGCTACTTTTAAATGGCATGTGGAGGTATAATACTAATTTTCAAGGAATGAGAATATAGTTAAAAAAAAAACCAACCACCAAACACAACATTGGGGTTAAGTCACTGTTGGATTTTTCACATTTATTTTGCCCATATCCAAATAAGCCCTTGATGAGTTAGACAGATTTACAGCCTCCTTTAGTATTTTTGTAGAATTGAATTACAGCCTGATACTTTCTTGTGTTAAAAAAAGTTATTACCAGTAATTAAAGCAATAATGAAAGTTAACTGTGCCCAGAAAACTAGAGTATCTATTTCAAAAACATTCATACTGTGAAACAGGTATTGAATTAAAAAAATCTAAATCTTAGTGTTGTGGATAAAAAAAAAAGTGGATGTCATGTTGAAATCTATTCTTTGAACAAATAACGTTACTCATATGTAATGTGCTGACTGACATGGGATCAAAAATTGCTTAATATTAAAAACAGACATCGACAATAAATGTCTCAGTGCATGCACATTGAACTCTTAACAGTGGATTTGAGCTTCAGACGGGGGGGGAGGACAATGTTTGGAAAGGAGAGTTAGGACTTACTGTTTGGTTGCCATTAATTTAACTGTGTGTGTACATCTAAAATATTATTCCTTTGTGCCCATAAGAACTTTGAATGCAAGCTCTGGTACATAACAGCTTTGCACAGAGATCACTGTAAATGGAGACTTAAAATTACGCAGTAAAAATTACATCTGAAATACTTTATCAGAAACATTTTTAATAATCCTTCAGTGTTTCTCTCTATCCGTTATCTCACTTTTTTATAAAGCAAATTGATTTTCAGTAACCTACAACTTTGCAATAATTTGAAGGGCAAATAAGTGCCTTGACTTTTCCTTTCTGCTATTGAAAAATCAGGGAAACCTAATTGGAGTTGAGTGAGAGTAACTAGGAGGAAAACCTGGCACCTGGTGCAACATTAATTTATGCCAAGATATTTTGATGAAGTAGTATATGAGGAAATCTACTTGTTCAAGAACAGATTTTTACAGAGCAGTTTACTCTTAATGTTCTGAATGTGTTAAATATCTGAGTTGAATTCTGTTTATTTGCTTGGTGTGGAAGGTAAGCGTGCTGAAAATGTAACTAAAAAGAGTTTGCAAAATGCATAAGTAGGACACCAGCTAGCTTTGAATTTTGTTTTCTTTCACAGATTTTAAAAGATCCAGGGTTACTGTTTATTGTGGGGAACTATAGATAGCTTTTGTCTGTTGCTAATAATAGATGATGTACCTTCCTCGGTGCATTGTGCTGAACTCCTGCTTCTGCTGTAACTGAAACCAGTGGTCTGGTATTCCTGTCTGCTTTAGAAGGGCAGGATCAGTCCCTAAAATTGCAGTTTACCTTGTGGGTTTTTTATGTTGGAAAGGATATGATAAGATGATTTAAATGCACATGGAGAGCTGCCGTTAACCATATCAGCTGCTTCACTTATTTTCTGACTATGTCTTATTGTCAGAACAGGAATTTTTCCTCCCAGTTTTAATCAAGTTGATGCAGATACAGCATATATGAGCACACTGTGCTCAGCTGAAGTATGTTAGCCTTGGGGTGCAAAACCCTGACCCCGCAGCAGGCTGTTAGCAAAGCTTAGAGTTGGCATCTGTCTGCTGTGGGGTCATGGAGGTACCGAGATCAAAGGATGATCTTTCAGCTAGAATCCCGAGCTAAACAGATTTAGCAGCATCTGAAGCATTGAGTAGTGTGTGTAAGTAAATACATATATGAAATTAGATTGAAAAAAGAAAGTATAGCTGATACTGGGTAAAAGGGAAAGTCTTGAAGGAAGAGTGTGTGGGGCTGGTACAGCCTGACAGAGGATGTCAGCAGTGCTTGGTGCCACATGGCTGGTAGAATTGGCAGGGGGATTCTGGTTTGGATGTGCAGCTTTCTTTCAAAAAGTTGTTATTTTTGTGGAGTTTGTTTTCAAAATGATTCTTCTGTGTGGTTTTAAAGGCCTTTGTTAAGCACAATGTGACAAGGCTTCTTTTTACTTAAAAATTGTTAAACCAAGTAGCTATTCCTGGGCTTGATAATAAAAAATAATGGTAATACAAAACTTAATTCCATTGATAAATGAGAGGGTTGTTTCCTAAATGAGGCATTAAACTAACACTGAAGCATTTCAGTAAAAAAAAAAACAAAAAAAAAAAAACAGAATTGACCAGAACATAACCTATTTAGTCTGAGCCACCCTCCTGCAGTTAATTTTAGAATAGACACACCTTTTTTTTGGTGTGTCCCCCATCCTCCTGAATTACAGGCCTAATTTGTCCCAACATGTAACTCCCTGGATTTAAAAAAGAAAACAAATTAAGTCTTGAGTAATTATAATAATTACAGGATCAGATGAACACAAGGTTCAGAGTGTGTGGTGTCTTAGCCCTCAGTTCTCCCTGCATTTGTCCCTGGGCAGTGGAGTATCTTGCCTGGGGCAGCAGTTTGCATCATTGACTCTCCGAGTCTTTGATGGAGGGAGGCTGAGCCCACCTGAAGGATGCTCTTTGATAAGAAATACCAGTGAAGCTGCACATTGCAAACATCACAGTAGACAGCAAAAGCCATCATTTGCATTGCTTTAATGCATCCAGATTTGAGACTAAGATGATGTCCTTCCCTTGTCAGTACTGGTGACAGTGAAGATGGGCTGGAAGCCGTAGTGGAAGCAAATACCTATATAGAAAAGCCTTGAAGTACCCAGGTTTTTCTGCTTCCTTTGTCTGCCTGTGCAGTTTTTGTATGAAAACTTGCATTCTTCAGTCCTCAGGCTGCAGATAAACATGCAGGCAGCTTTACTCACGTGACTGGTGGCACTGATGACAATGGGGCTACTGTCCTGCATGCACTTTGCTAGACTGGGTTCTTGTTTGCCATTTTTTTGAAAGATCTATTGGAGTTTCTTCTGTGAAAATTGGAGTTTCATATTTCAAGATAGAAGCACTTGTTAAAATTCCAGCCTGCACCTGTGCCTGATAAGCTTTTCTCTGATTAAACCTTTTTGATTCCAGTAAATATCTGAAGACCTTTGTATCTCTGAAGATTGCAAATCCAGGGCTTTATTATTTAAAGGGGTGTCAGTTCATTAGTGAAAAATATAACAGGAGAATATAGGTCATCACTGGAACCAGTAAATGGTATGTCTTGGGACACTGAGTTTATTAATTGAAGGCAGTCCAGATGACAACGCTTTGCAGATTGACTGTGCCTGGTTAATGTTGTTGTCATTGCACTCTGTGATACAGTTATTAAATAGGTAAAATATTTTACCTTTTCATATAGAGCCATACACTTACTTCATCTGATTTAATGGAACTATAATTTTAATTATGATTATTACCTTAAATTATAATTAAATTTATGTGGTTTAAATTTACATTTGTGAAAATGGCTGCGTGATGAAAGCAGAAATCAGCTTTGCATTAACAAAAAAGAAGGTTTTTTTAGCTGCATCTTAGTATATGCTCACAGCCAAAGACTAGCATGACCTACTTTGCAACAATAACAGAGGAATCAAGCCGGGTTTTTTTTGTTGAAGTATCTAAATTGGCCATGAATGCTACCTACTCATTCGTTTGTAAGTATCTTTAAAAATAGCTATTGTATCTATGAAACTTAAGGGTTTTTTTCCCCCTTCTCTTATTTTGATGTAGATAATTAGCACCATGGAGCCTCAGGTGTCGAATGGCCCTACTTCCAATACAACCAATGGACCCTCCAGCAACAGTAGAAACTGCCCTTCGCCCATGCAGACAGGGGCTGCTACAGATGACAGCAAAACCAACCTCATAGTCAACTATTTACCCCAGAACATGACCCAGGAGGAGTTCAGGAGTCTCTTTGGGAGCATTGGTGAAATAGAATCCTGCAAGCTCGTGAGAGACAAAATTACAGGTAAGCACTTCATATTGTTGACTTTCCGTGCATCAAGGTCAGTTTACATTTGGGGTCAGCAAAACCTTGGTGCTTGTATTGCAAGTGCTTAGCACAGGAAATACTGCAAATACTGTGGTGAACTTCTTCAGATGGTAAACCTTTAGTTTCCAATGATGCACGGTGGATCTAGAACAACTATAGAAGCCCCTCGTCTTTCAGCCTCCGTACAGATGCGAGAGGAAGTGCGAACACTGCCAGTCTGCATGCGTGTAACACACTGTACGGCTTCTTGCAGCAGAACTCAATGATGGCATTACTTTCCTGATCGTTCTGGTTTTTACTTAACATTAACTTAAGTTGTAGGAGGGTAGTCTAAATGGCTTGAGCCAAGTTGACTGTTCCTGAGTCTATTTCTTTTGAACCTCACGATACCTTCATGAAATGTTTGCCTATTAACAACATTGTAAAGTCAAAATGGTTCTGCATGCCCATCACAGCTTATATACCATGGTGTTCTGGAACAGCAGTGGTCTGTAGTTGGGAGCCGCTGCTCTGGATTTCATTTGGACGTTTGTGGATATTAGTTAATAACCTCTGTTCCCTGAAAACACTGTAATTTACCATGATGCTTTTCTGCATGAAGCAACACCTCTTGGTAGGTGCCTTCAGAATAAGAAAAGCCTCCCATTATAGATATTGCCTCAAAGAGGAGAGATGTTTGCGCTATTATAAAGAAGGTGTGGATGGGTGCAGGTGTACCTAGCCTACGCTGTATCCTTGCTGCTGCTGCAGCCAGGATGTGAAAGAAGGTGGGATGAACAATCAGCTTTTATAGCTTGGTTTATAGGTTAATTTTATAGGTTGTGTGTCTACTCACACCATAGGTGGGAAACAGCTGAAATTTCACTGCTGTTCAGTGTATCACCAGTGCTCTTGTGTTTAGCACAAAGCAGCAGCCTTGGTAAGGAAAGGGTTCCAGATGAGGAGCTGTCTCCTCTCTCGGATGCACTCCTGGCAACTTGGATGTGTGATCTGTGGAAAGAGGCACCATGTAAAGACGAGGAATTAAAATACAAATCTTCATACCTACTTCCATAACAGCCTGGCAGCCATTGTATTGGCAGCATTAGGATGATCTGCTTAGTGCTTTTAAACATGTAATGCTTCTTTTTTATTTACTTCCTGACATATAGCAATGTTCTGGTTGAACACAAGGCACATAACGAATGGCAGTAGCTGCAGGGCAGCTCAAGTCCTCATGCAAATAACTGAAGTCGTCTTCTTTTATAAGCATAGCTGGCCCAGTATCCCAGTGTGACATACCACCCCTGATATCTGCCACCAGACCAGTTCAGCTCCAGACTGTTTTTCTTTCAGTCTGAAAATAATCTGAGAAATTCAATTGGGGTTTACTTCAGTTATTTCAGACAGAAGTGAATACTTGACCTGCATCTGCAGGAGTCTAGTGTGACTAGCTTGAATTTTGATCATGGCAGGTCCTGTGTTTCATGAGCTTTTTTTGTTTCCCATATCCCTCAAATTCATCGAGATTTCCTTGCGGTACAGTTTCAAGACTTCAGAGATTCAATGTTTTCGTAAAGAATTGGCTGTCTTTGGACAGAGAGCCATTACTTCATCGGCTAGGAACAGTATTCTTTTTGTTTCATTCCATCTCTAGGCTTTTGTCTCTGTATTTGAAGATGTGAGAAATTTGCTCTACGATCGTCTGACATTCTTGGGTAGTCTTTCGCCTATGCTTTTTCTTTCTGTAAAAAGTGCCTAAATTTTTATGATCGGTAAAATATTTTAAAGGAACCATTCTTTAAAAGAAAAAAAACCACCTATGCAGATGCTTTGAGGACATCACCTCTAAGTGACTGAGGAGCCTACATGTTGTTTTATAAAGTGATACCGGTACAAAAGAACCAAATTCACAAAAAAAATTGTCCTCCAAAGTCTCTCTGCCATTTTTGAAAACAGAATTTAATCTACCAAGGTTTTCAGGCCTGTTATCAAGGCATTGTGCAACATTACTAGATTTTAGGATGCGTGCTCATTCCTCACATTGAGTTCTGAGTTAGTAAATCAAATGCAGTCCTCTGCCAGAAGCAGTCCATGTTTTTAAAGGTTCTTAGAACATTGAGAGTAACAAAATGGAAATGCACTGAGGTCATACCCAGCTCATCTTTCCAGATTGTCATGTAAGTGTGTTCTTCGTTAGGCTTTCTGGGTTTTTGTTTCTGGGAGGGGTCAAAGTATGCCAGTAGGCTGTTACAGGAATGACTGGCTTTTCTTCTCTGCTTTTTTCTTATTAAAAATCAACGTAGATTTTTTCACAGCAAAAACTCTATTACAGAAGAAACAGTACTTTCTTAAGCTCTTCTTGCTGAACTGGTGAAGGTCTGAAACAATTTAGGTTTTGACTGCTTTGGGATTTTTCATTGTTTCTGTTCAAAATTTGGTGTTTTTCATAAATCTCAGCTAAGTGTGTGCTGTTGTAGTATGCCTCTAAACAAATGTTGGAGCTCTTTCTGTTAAAAATAGGGGTTGTCTTCATAGACAGTAAGTTTGTCTCCTTCTTGCTAAGGTAAAATATGAAGTAAATCAAGGAAAGCCAGAATAAAAAGTTAGCTGAAGAGAGGTTGCTTCAAGAAAAAACAGAAAAGGTCATAAACCAAATCATCATCGTTAAATAGTTACCCTGGCAAAACCATATTAGAAAATCTCAAATGTATTTCTAAGGCTAAATAGAATTGAATTGGTTCATGTAAAAGATTCAATTTCCCCTGTCCTGTTAAGGAATTGCACAGATTTTGTGAAATACTGTTTAGGCTCCCAAAATAATTTTTTCAAGGAGTTCAAAGCTAAACAAAGTCTGTTAAACATACAAGATTGCTTTGAGAGAATTTAAGGTCTGAACTCTTTTATTAATTTTAAAATGGATTAAGCAATGTATGTCAGGAATAATCATCTGCTTCAAGCCTTTTTGCAGTCTTAGAACAGTAGTAGGGATTTTTAAGAAAATTGATTCGTGATGTTACCCCTCGCTTTGGAAAGACACATGTTTAAACAAGCATATTCCTTTACTAAAAAAAATATGCAAATTTGGTAGTACTCTGTACTGAGTTGAATAGGAATGACAGCTTCTAAGACAGCCTTTAATTTGGTATTCAAAACCAAAATTGTAAACTTCGGTTTTGTTTGGTAGTTTCTCAGAACAGGCAGGATATACAGTAGCATTTTTAAAAGATGCTAATGACTTGAAAGAGGAGATGGAAGTCAGGCATACATTTTAATTATGGGGGAGGGGTTGCAATAGAATTTTTTTTTTTTGCTGCAGAGATTTTTAAGGGAATGAGACAAGGAAAAACAGACTGAAGATAGTTGCCTTCATTTGGCAGGGGTGTTTAATAAAAGCAGAACTTGTGGTTGTAAAGTGTGCTTATTAAATTCTTCATTTACACTACCTAATTAATTCTAGCATTTTAAATTAACAGTGAAACTGGTCCCTGCTGTACCATTTCATAGCTACAGCATATTTCGTCCAACAACCCAGTTGTTCAGGTTTAATCAGCTGCTCTCAAAAAAATTAGAAGGAACTTGAGTTTAAAAAAAACTAAATGGCATAAACATTTTAGAGCAGCATTAGATGAAGGGAGGTGACTTCATGGAGGAAGACTGCGGCTTCAGATGGATGTGAGGCTCGGTGCTTAGAAGCAATGCTAAGCTATGTAGTGTTGTAGATGCTCTTTATTTCTTATTTTGTCCAAAGAAAGGCAGTGATAAATATATTCCTGACTTGGGGAAGGAGAGGGCTTGAATTCATCAGAAAATTTTGAGAGAAGAGATGCTGAACTTGTTTTGTTCCATGTTTGAAAACAAAAGATCCAGTCAGCATCGTGTCCGTCAGACACTGTAACTGCTGCTGGCCAAGTGAGTTGTCCTTGTTGACATAGTCTGTATGTGGGAGAAGGGGGGATGTTTGTTACTAATTTTTTAATTGATTTGGTGGCCTTATCTGAGCTTTTAAGGATTATATTTTTGTTTCTCCGTAATCTACACAGGAATTTACATCTGAGTCTTCAAATAATTGGTATCTAAAAATCTTTGGATCTCAAATAATCTTTCATATCTTAAAATGATCCAGGCACACTAAAAGCAGAATATTTACTGATACAGGATTTCTGTGCATCGCTTAACTTATGACAGTGTGCGTATTCCTGTTTTTTTTTTTCCTGCTGTGTGGTACAATTTGATGTTCTTTGCATGCATAATCAGGGACGTCATTGCTCCTCTGCCCAAAACATAACTCTGTTTTTAAATCGTTCCTTTTGAATTTGCAATTCCTTTAAGATTAGGCACAAAGATTTACACATTTTGTTTTAACTTCAGGTATTTGTAATAGGACTGATGCAGACTTCGATTAAAACTGCAGTTCAGAAGTAACTGTGGCATTTTAAGTGTAATGTAAATATTGATGATCCCAGTGAAAACCCAGGACAGGCAAGCTATTGACTCAAAGCAGTAGCATCTGTGTTGTCACATGTTAGGAGAGAGAGAAATAGTAACTGTTTTACCTATAGTCCTCTCTAGAAGTTATGGGTTGTCCATTCCTCACTCTTTGGATATTCAACCATGTGATCCAAGAACCAACACCGAACAAAATGGCAGAGTCAGAAATAATGCACCATTATGAGAGAGTACAGGAAAATATCTTCCATGTGAAGAGTGTTCAATGCTCATTTCTCAATAGAAACCAGTAAATTCTAACCTGGTGTGAGGATGCTCTCTGCCTGTGCGAGCCAACATGAACTCCCCCTGGTCCAGAAGTACGTCTATGCTACATTAAGTTGGTATCGTCTGCTCTCTATAAAAACTATTTTTTCCTGTCTCCCTGTATAACGAGCAGCTTACCAACACATACAGAAAAGGTGCCGCTGTAAAAAGCGAAGACCCAGATTTTATTTAACCAAGTGTGTTCAGTGAATGATAGCACTGAACTGTTGTTTGTCTGGAAT